TAATAGTAATAGTAGTAGTAGTTGTAGCAACCAGTGTTCACTCAGTGAATGACCTTGTGTTGCATTTTATACTCCTCAAAATGATGCTGGGATGGGGTTACTTACCAACACATTGCCTTGTCCTTAAAAAAAAAAACCATTACCTGCTAAGACTGACAACCTGGAAGGGTTGGAGCAGAGGGGAGCAGCCAGCTGTGCTCCTGCCTCAGCCTCCCCACCAGTGAAAAGGGGAGAAGGTGCCTTGCTTGGTGGGTGGTGGGAGATCAGTGTTTTTGTGATGGTCCCAGCTCCCGGCTGAGGGGTCCCTCGAGGCTCGGCCTGGCTTGTTGGCCACTCTGTTATTAATGCCAGTAATGGTATAGGAAGGATAAATTCCACCACTTGGCTGAACAGAGAAAATATGCAGAGAAGTGGCTGGCTTTCCATAAATCATCAGTGCTCCGTGCTACAACCGAGCCAGGACTTAAAATTCAGGTCAGGAGAGAGGGACTCTCGTAAGCCAGCAAGGGAAGGTAATTTATTCTGTTTATATCGTTTTACTGCAAGACAAGGGGGGGCGAAAACCTCTGCCATGATTTTGCATTTTAAATATTGGTTCAGAGCTGCAGCCTGCCTTGGACTTTTTATTTTTGTGCCTCAGAAATCGAGGGACAGGAACCATGAGAGAGGAGAGGGGTGCTGGGGGAGGAGACCCCCCTGCTGCCCTCAGTGCCCCCTAGGGCAGATGGGGCAAAAGCTGCCGGTGGCATTGATGGACCTCCCCTTTGGGATGTCCCCTGTTGGTGTCCCCCTCCAGCAGCCCTACTGACCCCCATGGCTGCTCCATGGGGATGCTCTGCCAGCAGGGCTGTGGGTGCCCCTGGGCTGCCTGGATGGGATTCAAACAACACGTGCCACCCGAGAGAAACGAATCGTGCATTGGGCTGTCTGCTGTGGGGGAAGGTGCTGAGCTGGGTAATGTGCCCCCTCCCAGTGCCAGAGAGCTGGGAGGACTCGGGTACCATGTGGGTGATGCAGGAACATCACCTTGTACAGGGGCCACGGCACCTGTTACACCCAGGGGAGTGATGGGGGGCTGCTCCCCCAGACCCCACACAGGGCTGGGGGACAATGGTGGAGCAGGGCAGCCCTGCCAGCAACGCTCGTGGTCTTGTCTTAAAAATAAAACAAAATAAAATAAAATGAAAGGGACAGGTGACCGAACAGTAGGTAACTAAAAGGTTTTTTATTCACATTGAACAACAAGAGCCATTCACACTAACAGCCTCTGCAAGAGGCAGCGGGGACAGGAAACCCACGACGCTTTCAGAAAACAACTTTTTTTCCTTTCCTTTTCCATTCTCCTTCCTTTTTTTATTGCCCCTTCTCTATCCTCTCACCCCCCTCCCCGGTGCCACCCCCTCCCTGCCTTCAAAATAGAAAAATTCGGAGCCTCCGATGACTAAAGTACAATAAATAATCAGTAAACACAAAAACATACTTTATTTGTTTCTCCTTTATACAAAATAAAGAAACTAGAAGCAAAAACTATAATACATCCTTAAATTGTCGGAGCCTCTGGGAATTGTTGGGGTGGGACTCGGCATCGAGGCTCAGGTGTAATTTCTGCTGTTGTGGTTGAGTTGGTTTAGTTCTGGGGTTTATTGGTTTTTTGTTGTTGTGTTTTTCCTGTTTCTGCCTCTTTCTGGTGTCTTTTCCACCACGTGGGAGCCCAATCTCAGTCAGTCACTGGGGCAGCCCTGGGCCTGGCCCCCCCACGACCCCCCTTCTCCCCATCACCAAAAACCGTGTCCAAACCCACCTTCTCCTTGGGGATAAAATGGGAACAATAAAAATAAGGGCAGGGAGAGGGGCCGCGGGGGTTATTCCTGCTGTTCCCCATTCCCCCCCTCCCACGACGTGGCAGGGGATAATTAAAAAGGATGCTAATTAGCAGGGGGGAGCCCTGCCCCAGCCCCTCCTCCCCTGGTGCCACCGGGGCGGTGGGACCTGTGTCCAGGCGAGTTCAGCTTTGGTCCAAGAGGTGGTCCCGACACCGGCGGGGGTCTTCAGGGCTGGGCACCATTCATTGCTCCCCTCCCAAGTGTTGGGGGGAAGGTGCCGGGAGGGGGGAGGTAGCGGGGTGGCCCCAAGGTCCCGGGGGGTGCAGAGATGGGGAGGGCAGAGGGGGGATGCAGGGATGCGTTTTGGCACGGGAGGGGGCTCTTTATCCGACGGTGGTGATGTGATGCGCCCTGGTCCGGGGTGAGGGGAGGGGGGACACGCGTGGGCTGGGGGGACGAAGGGGGCGTTTTCCCCCTGCACACACACACGCGTGCCCACGCCAGGCCTACCACACCGCCGCCTCGCTGAGCTCCGGGTTCGGGTGCGACAGAGCCCCGCTGTAGCCGCTATTGCTGGACATGGAGAAGGGGGGGCTGGGCCCCCCGCTGAAGACCTCCCCCGGGATGGGGTGCAGCGAGCCGGTCATCCCCGGCTCGGGGCTGGGGGTGTCGGGATGCGAGATCATATCCGTGTACCTTTGGTTTTCTGAGGAGTGGTGTCCGCTTAGGGGGGGCTCCAAGGGTCCCAGGGGTGTGGAGCCGGGTCCTGAGTTCTGAAGGTAGCTGGAGTCGGCCGGGGACTGGGCTTGGGAGGGCGGCCCGTGGGGGAAAAAGTCATAGTTGCCTCCCGGTCCGTAGTAGTCACCTTGGTAATCTGTGGGAAGGGGGGGAAAAAAGGATGGATCCTGTTCCCTGGGGCCAAAGACCTTCCAAAATCCTGCTGCACCCCATCCCAGCCCTGTCCTGTCCCCTCCAAAATATTGCTGGCTCCCAGGATGTGGGGCCCAAAGAGCCAGGTAGGACTTCGAGCCCAACCTGAGAGAAATAAACCTGTCCTAAGGGCTGCCGTGCCCATCACCCTCTCTCTGCCCAGACTGGAGGAGGGAAAGGCAAGGAACCCAGGGCTGGGATAGCTGAGGGGGTGAAAATGGGCTCTGTTTAGTGCTTAATTAACGGGGAAAAGTAAGATATATATATATATATATATATAAAGGGAACGGGAATAAATATATATAAAGAGAATGGGGGCAAATAAATATATAATGGGAAAAATATGTAATGGGAAAATATATAATATAATAGGAAGAATATATAATAATATAATATAATGGGGAAAAATATACACAATGGGAAAAACATATGTAATAGGGGAAAATATATGCATAAAAGGGGAACACACACACATATATATGTATATATAATGGCGAAATTATATGTAAGTTTAAGCAGCCTGGAAAGGATCTAGAAACTAACTTTAGGACAGCAAGGGGTGCCTGGAAAACCCCTGGTCAGATGGGAGGCTTTGAAAACACGGCTTTTGTGGGGGGCTCTGTGGGGAGCGGGGGGAGAGGGAGGCACGGGGCCGCCCCGCTGCGCCCATCCCGTCCCGTCGGGGCGGCGGGGGGGCGGCAGTGACCTTCCATATGCTGCGGGCCCCGCGAGGTAATTGGAACAAATGCGGCCTGAAAGGGGGACAAAAGCCCCGCAGCTGGGGCTTTGTTCGCGGGAGAGGGGCCCCGCAATGCCGGCGGGGCGCGGGGGTGCGTGGACGTGGCTGCGGGTGCGGGGATGCGGCCACGAGTGCGTGCGCGAGGGTAGGAGAAGCGGAAAATCCTTGGAGAAGCGCGATATGGAGGAACAAAAGGGGAAGGGGGACACACAGAGCAGGGTCCCCGCGGCCGGTCCCTCACCTCCGTAGTACGTGTAGGGGGTCGAGCCGAGCATCTCGGACTCGTCGAGGCGGCCGCCGAGGGGCCGCATCCTGCGGGGGCTGCGGAAGAAGGCGTGTCGGCGGGCGCCCAGCGCGCTCAGCTGCTTCATCCGCCGCTCCTTCGACCGACGGTTCTGGAACCAGACCTGTGGCCGGGCCGGTGTCAGTGCCCACCGGGGGTGGGGGAGCGGAGACCCCTCTGGGGCAGGGACATCCCTCTCCCTTCCTCCAGATTCTGGTCAGGGGAAGTGTTGGAAATCTTGCACCCACCCTGGGTTTTTCAACATTTTGGGTATTTTTTTAATGACGCTGAGCCCCCACTCTTCCTGCTGCTTATACCCCAAAAAGTGCATGAAGACCCCGCACCCCCCAAATAACAAGGTTTATCAGAATCCTGCCCATCTCGCCCCCAGCTGCATCCCCACATGCGCATCCTCAACCTGTCTGTCCCTGCAAAGGAGAGGGCAGCCGGAAAATACAGGAGGGATAAATTTCCCCTGTGGATACGGGGAATAAGGGAGGAAAGGTGGGAAGGAGAAAGGGGGTAGGACTGTGGATCGCGGCAGAAGCAGGCGGAAAGCGGGAAGCGGGGAGATAAGCACCTGCGGCAGCAGACAGAGAGTCAGAACAGCCGGCAGTGAGGATGGAAATGAAAGGGAAAGGGGAGATGCGGCCACCTCTCCACGGACATCGCCTAATCCGAACCGCACGCCTCAGCAGCCTGGTGGGGTGTCTGGATTATTGTCCCACTCCCCCAGGGATGGGGCAGCTCGGGAGAGCGAGCACATCATACTCCTGCGGGACTTCTGCTCCCCTCTGCCAGGAGCCGGGAATCGCAGCTCCGCTACCGGCAAAGCCGGAGAGTCCTCCCCTATTAATGCCTCTATTAAAGCCCATTAATCCCTACATTTCCGCAGGGATTTTCTTCACAGGGGTAGTGCGGTAAGAAAGTGCCGGCTGCCTGCAGAGAGCAATAGATGCTCCGTGCTTCCACAAGGCTGGAGCATCCAACTCCTGGCGCGCTGGAGATCCTGCTCGGCCCCACGGGAAGCCACGCAGGCTGACGTTTTGGGAATGGTTTTCATCCCTTCCCATGGGGTGGGTGTATTAAAGCACAGGGTGGGGGATCCCCGCTCACCCACGGGAGAATGGGGTGGGAGCAGGGCTGGGCCTGGGGTGATACTCGCAAGGGACAGATGGTGTTCCCCTGGCCCCATTCCCTGAGGGAACAATCTCGGTGTCCCAACCCCTTTCCAACACCTGGGGGAAACTGTCACAGCCTTGAACTCTCTGGGCTCCTACCAGAACCCCTTGTCCTCCCTCCCGGCAGCCTTGGGCTCTCCTACCTGGATGACTCTCATGTTGAGGCCGGTCTCCTGGGCCAGCTGCTCTCGGATGTGGCGGGTGGGTTTGGGGGTGGCGGCGAAGGCAGCTTTGAGGGTCTCCAGCTGCTTGGCTTTAATGGTGGTGCGGGGCCCCCTCCTCTTGGTGCCCGAGTTCTGCTCCTCGTTCTCGTTGTTGGTGGTCTCCTTGTCCGAGGAGGTCGAGTTGTCCGTCTCCTTGGTGTCGTCCTGCATGGGGTCCTGGAGATCCGGGGACAAACTCCTGTCTGTACATGAGGACACTGTAAAGGAGACCCAGAGAGGAAAGGAGGGGGGCGGATGACTTAGGGGAGAGGTTGACCCCCCTCTTCTCTGCCCTCCCCGGCCCATCCAGCTCAGCTGCTTTCCGGAAGAGGAGTTGGAAGGTGCTGGAGAGCAGTAGGGGGTGCAAATGGCCTCTGCCCCCCGATATCCCTAAAGCAACATCCCCCCAACATCACGCAGAGCTCCAGGCAAGCGCTGCCCGATCCAGCCCTGTGCACTGAGTCATGCCGGCCGGGGGGAGCTGGGGAGGGGGCGATCCCCCAGGCCCGCCGCAGCCCCCCACGCTCCCCCTCTCCCCCCTGCGCCTTTTACACTGGGAAGCGGGATGCGCCACTGGGAAAAATGAAACCGGTCCCTTTCGAGGTTTGGGGCGTCCCCAGTCACTGCCTTGAGCCTGGCTCACCCTCCGCCCCCAGCCACCGATCCCTCCCCCGGGGACCCTGCAGCCAGCACCCCCCCAAGGCCAAGCTCTACTCGCCTCGCTCACAGCAGCGGCCCCACTGACTGGCGTGGCAGGATCCGGCCCCGGGTGCTGGACGGAGAGAGAGCCCACGGAAGGGGGTGAGCAGGGGCGCCCGGCATGGCTGGGACAGCAGGAGGGGGCCTGGCCCTGCTCTCCTGACGCAGAGACAGCTTCCAAGGAAGTCAAATGGGAGCTTTGCCTCTGGGTGAAAGGAGGCGAAGGATCAGGCCCACGGCGCGGGGGGACAGGGCATACTCGCAGGGGGAGCTCCGGGGCGGGGGGGGCTCCCGAGCCAGCCCGGGGGGTGGTCCTGGTTCCCCACCGCCCCGCATCCCCGCTGCCGTAGGGGCCGTGCGCGGGGCAAGAGCCAAAAGGCGGGGAGGGGGGGAAGAGCTCATCCCACGCGTGTCCGCATCCCTCGGGGGGGGGTATCTCAGAGGCTTCCGCCCGCTTTGAAAGCTTTCACCCCAAATCCCTCCCTCCCCCCGCGGATCAACTGGCTGTGGGGTGCAGCCCCTCATCCCATAAATCCAAACCTCCTTCCCGGTCGGGAGATGCCTCCGCCGGGAGGTACCGACAGCTCGGGGCTGCTGCCTACGGGTTCGGCGCTGCCCGCTCCTGCCGGTGCCGGTGGCAGGGATTGCCTGAGGGGTCAGGCTGGCCGCGGGGTGCAGCCCCTCATCCCACAAATCCAAACCTCCTTCCCTGCCAGGAGGTGCCTCCACTGGGAGGTGCCGGCAGCAGGGACGGTGCGGTGCGGCGGGCTGAGCCGCTCGTACCTGAGTTGAGGCTGCCTTCCTTCAAACTGGGAGAGTTCAAATAATCCTCTTTGCAAACAAATTTGTTCTCGTCGATGATATAGAGTTCCTCGCCCGTGGAGAGCTGCTTGTTGCAGACCATGCAGGTGAAACAGTTCAGGTGAAAGACTTTATTCCGGGCTTTCCGGACGAGGTCGCTGGGGGAGATCCCTTGGGAGCAGCCGGCGCATTTGGTACCAAACCTCCTGGGAAGAGGGAGAAAAGCGAGAGCTGGAGCCCCGGCGGCGCTGGGCTGTGTGTGAGCTGTACCGAATCCCCCACCTCAAATCCCGCCGCGGGAACCCGATCCTCCAGGTCTCTCCCTGGAAGATTTAGGGGAGCAGGCGATTGTCCCCTTTGGGGCGAGTATGAGGGGAGCCTTCATCCCCGCGCAGCCCCGGCACTGGGCTGCGGGGAGAGCGCGGTTCTGGGGTGATCCCACGTGAGCATCCTCGCCCGGATTTGGCCCCTGAAGGGACTGAGGGGAGGGGGGATGGCGGGGGGTCCCTTCGGCGCTCCGCAGGGGGGGATTTCTTTTAAGCCGGTGCTCCCTGGGAGGGCAGCGGGGAGCTCCGGCCTGAAAATCCCGGGGAGAAAACGGAGCTAATCACGGCCAAAGAGATGGAAAAAGGGAGAGGCGGGTGCGAGGGGCAGCGCGCATCCAGAGGCAGAGGAGAGGGCTGAGCTCCTCAAGGTAGCCCGGGATCCCCAGGGCCGCGTCTGGTCCCCAGCCCATCCCTCTCTCCCGAGGGGGAATTCTTCCAGGTCGAGGAGAACGCTTTGGAAATCTCCGATTATCTTTTCCTTCCCAGAGTGGGTTTGGGTTTTTTTGTTTGTTTGGTTTTTTGTTGGTTTGGTTTTTTTGTCGTTGTTTTTTTTTTTTTTCATCAGGAGGTGCCTTTTTTTAAAAAAAAATACTTCCAGGGAATCTGAATCAGCTGGGAAAGATCTCCCAAGGTAAAAAGAAAAAAAAAGGAAAAAGAAAATAAACGCAAACAAATAAAAAAACCCACAAAACCTCCAAAACAAAACCCCAAACCCTACAAAAAAACCAAATAACCCCCAACAAAACAACAACAACAAAATGAAATAATTTAAAAAAACAACAAAGGAAAACAACAAAAAAATTCCACCCAAAAAACCCAAAGCAAACAAACAAAAAAGAAAAGAACAACAACAAAAAAACCCCAAACCAACCAAACAAAAAAACCCCACAGAGACAAAAAACCTGCCTACAGAACCGGGAGCGGGGGCTGTCGCTGCGGGGTTCCCGAGGTCCCCCTGGGCTCCCAGGCCCCGGGACGCCAAGCAGGGTCCCCCCTTTTTCCCCTCCGGCCGCGGCACAACTTCTGCCTCCTCCGCTGCTCCCCGTGACGTTGATGTAGTGAGAGCATTAGGAGTCATAAGTCATTGCCCCCCCCCTTCCCGTCCCGGCCCCTAATTTCCTCAGCGGCACCTTATCGCGGTCATTAGGGGCGTTTAAGATGCGGGTCCCCTCGGGGGGACGGTGGGGGAGGTTTTGGCCACCGATTTCACCGGGGCCTGTGGTCGCGGGAGGTGGGCTCGGAGCGCCAGGCCGGGTCCCGGAGGGGGGGCACACACGGGGCCGCAGCCGCGGTGCCCACCGGGGCCTGACGCGACGGGGCGGGCGGCGGCACCGGCGGAGCGGGGCCCAGGGCTCTCCGAGGAAGGTCATGGGGAGATTGGGGAGGGGGGCACAGCCTCGCTACCCCCTCCTCACGCTGCAGCAGCGGCCGCAGCGCAGCCGCCGGGTCCCCCCTTGGGCTTCCGCGGGCCGGGCACTGCTGCCCCATGGAGCGGCGGGGCAGGCTCGGTGTGGAGCCCCGGCAGGGAGGGACGGGAGGGGAGCCGAGCTCCCCCAAAGCTCCGGGGAGACCCTAGGGAGGCAGCAGAGCCCGGGCTCGTTGTGAATCCCCGCGCCCTCCACTGCCCGTTGGCGGGGTTGGAGTGGGGGGTGACGACTCACCTGAAAAAGTCATTTTTGCAGTAGAGTTTCCCTTCCCTGGAGAAGCATTTCTCGGTCAGGTTGCACTTGCACTCGCAGCACTGGACGCATTTGATGTGCCATGCTCTGTCCAAGACGTTCAGTAGGAACCGGTCCAAAATCGGCCTCTCGCAGCCCGCACAATGCACCATCATAACCTCCGCCGGGGGATGGAGACGCGCAAAAGGAGAAGCCAGACCCGCGCCGGCACACGGCGGCGGCAAAAAAAAAAAGAAAAAAAAAAAAAGAAAGAAAAAAAGGCAATCCCCCCTCACTAACAGGGGAAAATAATAAAAAATAAAATAAAATATAAAAAATTGTAGGAAAAAAATAAAATTAAAAAATGTAACAAAACGAAATTAAATGAAAAAATAAAATAAAAAGGAATAAAATAAAAGGGAAATAAAAACAAAATAAAAAATAAAGCAAAATAAAATCGAATAAAATAAAATAAAAATTAAAAAAATATAGAAGAGGGAATAACAAAAAATTCAGGGGAGGGGAGCGGGGCGGCTGTCAAGTTCTTCCCCCTCTTCTCTCCGGAGCCTCGACGACGGGAGGGAAAAAACGACGCCCCCCCCCC